GGGCGGTGAGCGGTACTTTTTGCTGGTTGTCGACGACTACTCGCGTTACACCACGGTCTTCCCCTTGCGCACCAAGGGTGAGGTCCCTGCTGTTCTGATCCCTTGGATCCGCACAGTTCGTCTCCAGCTCCGCCGCCGTTTCCGGACGGATCTTCCTGTCCTGCGTCTGCACTCTGACCGAGGTGGTGAGTTTTCCTCCGACCTCTTGAGGACCTTCTGTCAGGCGGAGGGCATCGAGCAGACCTTCACGCTTCCGGACTCCCCACAGCAGAATGGGGTTGCTGAGCGCCGCATTGGCCTGGTCATGGAGGTCGCTCGTACCTCCTTGGTCCACGCGGCGGCTCCCCATTTTCTGTGGCCGTTTGCTGTCCGGTACGCCGCGCATCAGCTCAACCTCTGGCCCCGTGTCTCCTTGCCGGAGACCTCGCCCACACTGCGTTGGACGGGGGAGGTTGGCGATGCGTCGCGCTTCCGGGTGTGGGGTGCTCGTGCCCTTGTCTGCGATACGTCCGCGGACAAGCTCTCCTCCCGCACGCTTCCCTGTGTCTTCCTTGGCTTTGTCCTTGACGCGCCTGGCTGGCAGTTTTACCACCCCACCTCGCGCCGGGTCTTCGCCTCTCAGGATGTCACCTTTGACGAGTCGGTCCCTTTTTACCGTCTCTTCCCCTACCGCACTGCCCCCCTCCCTCCCCCGCCGCTTTTCCTTGCTCCTGGTCCCCCTCCGGTAGACCCCCTTCCCCCTCAGGGTCCTGCTCCTTCAGGTGTCTCTCAGGTAGACCCTCCTCCCGTCGCTGAGCCTGTCGAGGTCACAGGTGACTCAGGTGCTGCTGCAGGTGGTGCTGCTGGGAGTGCTGAGCCTGCGGGTGCTGGGCCTGGGGGTGCTGGGACTACGGGTGCTGGAGCTGAGGGTACTGTGCCTGAGAGTTCGGCGCCTGGGGGTGCTGAGCCTGGGGGTGCTGCGACTGGGGGTGCTGAGCCGGCGTGTGCGGAGTCTGGGGGTGCTGAGTCTGGGGGTGCTGCGCCTGCGGGTACTGAGCCTGGGGGTGCTGCTACTGAGCCTACGGAGCCTCGGGTTGCTGCGTCTGGGGGTGCTCCGGTTCGGGGTGCTGAGCAGTCTCTCACACCACAGCAGCTTCGTGACTGGTACGTCCGGCGCTTTCGCCGTCCTAGTGGCTCGGCTGGAGCTGGGGGTACTGGAGCTGCCGGGACTGGTTGTTCTGGGAGCACTACGACTGGAGCTGCTGGAGCTGGGGACTCTGGAGCTGGCGGCGCTAGCGGAGTTGTAGCTGCGGACCCTGGGGGTGGTACTGCTGCTGGTGCTGCGGACCCACCTGGTGGAGCTGCTGCTGGAGCTGAGGACCCGAGCGGTGGCGCTGCTGCTGGTGCTGGGGACCCGGACGCTGGAGTCTCTTCTGCTTCTGGAGACGCTGCGCGGCCGCGGCCGTACTTCGTACCGCTCCTTCAGCAGGTTCTTGGGCAGGCTCCTCCTCCTTGTCCTCCTCCCTCCGTAGAGTGTCCTCCGACTGTCCAGCCGCAGTCACAGTTACCGCCTGCCTCGCCTCTCCCTGCTCCCTCTCCTTACACTGGTCCCACAGGAGGTCTTACAGAGCGTCGTGAGCCTGAGTCTCGTCCTGCGTCGCCTGTCCGTACTGCTCGCACTGGTCGTCGTGTCCGTCGTGAGCGTCCTCCTCCTGTCCCAGGCACTCACTACATGACTCTGCGTCCCTCTACTGCTCCTCAGCGTGTCCCTCTGCCGTCTCCTCCTGCGTCCTCTTTGCCTGCTGTTCCGGACCCTGAGTCTGACCGGTATCGTGCTGAGCACCCTACTGTCACGCGTCTCCTAGCTACTGTTGTCACTGACCCTACCTTTGAGTCCTCGGCTGCGTCTGCTCTGGTCGCTGAGTTGGTTGACTTTGCTGCTGCCTGTCGTCTAGACTACGCTGCTCGCCTTGTTGCTGGGTCTGAGTCTGCGTCTGTCTGTCCTCCGTCCGTCGGGGGTGAGTGTGCTCTTGGCACGGACGTCCTTGAGGACAGGCAGGAGGACTTTGACTCTCTCGCGGCTGCTGTACCTCATCTCGTGGCCTGGTTGCTTGCCCCTGAGGGAGACCCGGATGCACTAGACATCCCCACTCCGCGCACTTACGCAGAGGCGATCTCGGGTCCCTACTCCTCTCAGTGGCAGACAGCCATGGACGCAGAGATGGCATCCTGGAAGTCCACAGGCACCTACGTCGACGACGTTCCCCCTCCTGGGGCGAACATCGTCGATGGCATGTGGATTTTCAGGGTGAAGCGGCCGCCAGGTTCTCCGCCTGTCTTCAAGGCTCGTTACGTTGCTAGAGGCTTCAGTCAGCGTCAGGGGGTTGACTTCTTCCAGACCTTCTCCCCCACCCCGAAGATGACCACTCTTCGGGTTCTGCTGCACGTTGCTGCTCAGCGTGACTACGAGCTTCACTCTCTTGACTTCAGCACAGCGTTCCTGCAGGGCAGCCTGCACGAGGAGATCTGGCTGCGCCGCCCACCTGGCTTTACTGGGTCGTTTCCTCCTGGTACCCAGTGGAGCCTCCGCCGGCCAGTCTACGGTCTCCGCCAGGTGCCACGTGAGTGGCACGACACACTGAGGACTACACTTGCGGCTCTTGGGTTCACGCCGTCTACTGCTGACCCGTCGCTGTTTCTGCGCACAGACACGTCGCTGCCGCCGTTCTACATTCTCGTGTACGTCGACGACTTGGTCTTTGCTACTGCTGACACTGAGGCACTCGCTCGTGTGAAGTCGGAGCTGCAGAAGAGACACACCTGCACTGACCTGGGTGAACTGCGTAGCTACCTTGGCTTGCAGATCACCCGGGACAGAGCTCGCCGCACCATCACCCTGACTCAGTCACACATGGTGCAACAGGTCCTTCAGCGCTTCGGCTTCCAGTTCTCCTCACCACAGGCCACACCTCTGGCTACCAGCCACTCGCTCTCAGCTCCACCTTCGGACGAGTCCGTAGAGCCGAGTGGCCCGTACCCAGAGCTTGTAGGCTGCCTCATGTACCTGATGACTTGCACACGACCTGACCTCGCGTACCCTCTTAGCATCCTTGCTCGTTACGTTGCGCCTGGGAGACACAGGAGAGAGCACTGGGAGGCTGCTAAGAGGGTGCTGCGTTACTTGTGCAGTACATCAGGCATGGGGCTGGTGCTTGGAGGACACGACAGAGTTGTTCTCACTGGTCACTCGGACGCTTCTTGGGTGGACGACTTGGCTACGCAGCGGTCGTCGCAGGGTTACACCTTCAGCCTTGGCTCTGGTTCTGTCTCGTGGCGGTCCACCCGTTCTTCTTCTGTTCTCAGCTCTAGTTGTGAGGCTGAGATCTACGCCACGGCCATGGCTGCACAGGAGTTACGCTGGCTCACCTACCTGCTGACTGACTTGGGAGAGCGGCCTAGTTCTCCTCCAGTTCTGTACGGCGACAACAAGGCGGCCCTTGCCTTGTGTCAGGAGCACAGACTGGAGCACAGGACGAAGCACATTGCTCTTCGCTACTTTCTTGCTCGAGAGCTGCAGCAGCGAGGTCAGCTTCGGCTTGTGTACGTGGACTCGAAGGCCAACACTGCTGATATCTTCACCAAGGCACTCCCGCCTAGTGATCATCAGCGGCACTGTACTTCTTTAGGCCTTGTGTCCACGTTTCCTCACTTGCTCACTGCTTGACATTCTTTGTACTGTACTTTATATATATCTTGTTGCTTGTCTTGTACTATATCTAGCACTGCATGTGAACTGGCCTTGTGGCCTTTGCTTGTGCTCGGAGTGTGGTGACTTTGTGATCCACCCTGGGCTTGCGTTGCTTTGCTGGACTGGTCTTGTGACCCTTTGTTCTCCCCCACTTTGCCTATGGGGGTGTGTTAAATTGTAATGTGTTATATGTTGGTAGGCTGTAGTGGGGTAGCTGATATGGGGTACAACCCCAACTAGGGTTTGCTACTTGTACCCAATTCTTCCATTCAATGCATCATTCTTGCCTAGTTCTCTTAACACGCCTCCCTCTCTTACTTGGGCTGACTTTGACACTCTCCCTCTTCCCGACGCTCCACCTCCTCCTCTTCCCGACACTCCCTCTCCTCCTCTTCCCGCTCCCTCCGCCATTTCTGATCCCCCTTCACCCACTTCCCCCTCCAGTACCACAAAGTCTCCCTCGCTCCTTCCCTCCTCCGCTCCCCCTCTTCCCTCTCCTCTCGCATCTCCTCCCACTCTCGCTCCCCCACCTCCTACCGAGCCCGTTCCTCTCAAGACCTACCACCGTCGTCCCCCTCCTCCTCCTCCTCCTCCTCCTCCTCCTCCTCCTCCTCCTCCTCCTCCTCCTCCTCCTGCTCCTACCCCTGATCCCGCTCCCGTTTCCTCTCTCCCTCCCACTCCCACCTCCCCTACCGCTGCGCCTCCTCCAGCCCCGCCTCCCTCCCCCATCGCTTCTCGCACCCGCTCTCGCAAACCTCCACAACCGCTCTCCCTTTCCGTTCGCGTCTCTCTCGATCCTCCTCCTGTCGGGGGTGATTATTCTCTCATGCCCTCCCTCCTTGAAGACAGACATGAGGAGTTGATTGATATCGACTCAGTCATCCACGCGCTCTGCTTCCTCTTTCCAGACATCGCAGACTCTCCCACCCTCAATTTCTTCGACAACCCCTCCATCCCTGCACCTCTCACCTATGCTGAAGCAGTCTCTGGTCCTCACGCTGCTCAGTGGTTGGAGGCCATTGTCGCAGAATGTGAGGCCTTCATTCACACAGGAACTTTCACAGATGTCTCTCCTCCCTCCGGCGTCAACATTGTGAAGGGAAAATGGGTTTTTCGGGTAAAACAACTTCCGGGCGAACTTCCTGTCTTCAAAGCCCGGTACTGTGCCAAGGGATTTACCCAAAAGCATGGACTGGACTTCTTTGAGACATTCTCTCCCACCGCCAAACCTCCCACACTGCGCACCCTTCTCGACGTCGCTGCTCGAGATGACATGGAGGTTGACTGCATGGATGTGTCTTCTGCGTTCCTGCAAGGGATCCTTCGAGAGGAAATCTACATGGAGCGGCCCGAAGGATTTCCAGCTCCTTTTCCACCAGGCACTGTATGGAAGCTGAATCGGCCAGTGTATGGCCTCAAGCAAGCTCCCCGGGAATGGCACAACAAGCTAAAGAGCACCCTAGGGACTCTTGACTTTCACCCTTCCACCTCTGACCCCAGCCTCTTCATCCGAGCAACACCATCCCGCTTCTTCATCCTGGTTTATGTTGATGACTTGATCCTTGTCACCAAGGATCAGACTGAGCTGGCAGTAGTTGAAACTGCACTTGGTGAGAAGCTGGCCATGAAGGACCTTGGGAAGCTGACGAACTATCTGGGAATGGAAATCACACGTGATCGCACTGCCCGCACCATCACCCTCTCGCAGAAGTTTTACATCAACAACGTTTTGACGCGGTTCAAGATGGAGGAAGCAGCACCAATGCCTACCCCGCTCTCTCTGCAGCACCAACTCACTGCACCCTCTATTCCCTCACCTGAGCCCTGTGACGAGCCTTACCCCGAGCTCGTGGGATCCCTCACGTACGCGATGATGTGCACTCGACCAGACTTAGCCTATCCAGTCAGTGTACTGTCCCGCTACGTTGCACCTGGTCGCTTCACTCGCCACCACTGGTCTGCCGCCAAGCGGGTTCTTCGCTATCTCAAAGGCACACAGGATTATGTGCTTACACTTGGCGGCCCTTCCCCTGTTCGCCTTGAGGGGTACAGTGACTCATCCTATGCTGATGACCAGAGTGATCGGCGCTCTTCCCAACGGTATTGCTTTACCCTTGGCAGTGGGGTTGTAAGTTGGCGCTCCACTCGGTCGTCCTCCGTCTCACTGTCGACCTGTGAGGCAGAGCTGTATGCCGGGACCATGGCTGCCCAGGAGGCTCGTTGGCTCTCCTTCCTGCTGACAGAACTGGGGTATCCCCAACCAACCCCAACGCCCTGGTGTGACAACGAGAGCACCATTCATCTCACCAAGGACCCCGTTTTCCACGGCCGCACCAAGCACATTGAAGTCCGTCACTACTTCCTTCGTGAGCTGGTGCAGCGCGGGCAGCTGAAGGCTGAACACATTGCCTCCGACTGCAACCTTGCTGACTTGTTCACCAAGTCACTTGTTCGCGAGGATCATTACCGCCTCCTCTCGGCCATGGGTGTTGGGCCTCCTTGTGGCTGATGTGTTGCAGCCTAGGGGGTGTGTTAGAATTAGGCTGTCAACATTTTTGTGTACTATATTTTATATCGCGTAGGTTATTTGCGGGTTGGGTGTAGTTTGTAATCCCAACCCTATCTGGTTGGCATTCCCTCGTAATCTGCCAACTCACCAATTGGAGATTTGCTAGGATTCCCATCCCATCCTTTCCCTAGCCTTTCCCAACCCAACCTTGTTTGTACTTAAGGCCTAGTGCCTTCTTTACTAATCAATCAGTTGACCTCCATTTCTATCAGGCACTACAATTCTCTAGATTAAAACACTGCCAGTGCCAATGCATGAATGTTGAATGGGACTAGAGTGTAATATCTTTTTTTGCTAGACCTTCTCAGATCCAAGTAGAGTAAAATTCAAATCGTTGCACATTCCCTCCCCCCACCCCCCAAGCTAGTCCCGCCCTGCTTCATCCATGTTAGTGCCAGCGTGTGATGGCGAAAGGCTAGATCTGCACTTAAGCAACGGCGAAATGCTAGATCTACGCTTAAGCAACGGCGAAATGCTAGATCTACGCTTAAGCAACGGCGAAATGCTAGATCTGAGCTTAAGTAACGGCGAAATGCTTGATCCGCACTTAAGCAATGGCGAAATGCTAGATCTGCACTTAAGCAGCAGCGAAATGCCTTGATCCGCACTTAAGCAACGGCAAAATGCTAGATCTGCACTTGAGCAGCGGCGAAATGCCTTAATCTGAGTCCAAACACCAAGGCCCGCGACCTAAAAATTGGTCGCGGGCGTATTCGTCGACGAACACATTGGTGTTCGTCGAAGGCCCGTGTCGAACACGAACACGTTCGTGTTCGACGCGCCTCGGCCAGCTGAGCCGGGCGAACGGCAAACGTGTTCGGGCGAACACCGAACACGTTCGGCCCGAACAATTTAGGCATTCGAGGCGAACTGAACAGGAGTTCATCATATTGCTCATCCCTAGTTGTAGGTTGACATGTGAAACTATTATGGAAGTCAAGGTTGAACGGAACCGAACCGGTTCGACCTATAAGGATAGAGACGAATACCAATCATAACACAGCAACCAGTCTGACCTAAATGGTTCGGGCACTTGTCGAACTAGTTCAGGTTCGAGCGAAATTAAAACGAACCGGTTCGCTTTTTTGCTCATCCGTATTCTCAATGCAGTGTCAAACATTGTATGTTTATATTGTGTAGAGTGTAGAGGGATGACCTTAGGGGGTACACAAACTTAGGGTTTGCTACTTGTACCCAACTTTCTCCTTAGTTCATCATTCCTGGTTCAGGATTCTGACATGGTTTCAGAGCAGGTCCTTCGCTAGGACCTAATCTTTCCGGCCCACCACTACTGACTGGCTTCTACTGCTTCTCTACTAGCGCCCTCGTGCGCCCTACTGTCGGAGCGCTCCCTAGCGCCTCCCCCCAGCGCCCTCGTGCGCCTCTCTTTCACGGCCCCTTAAGGCCCCGTCGACCCCGCACACCGCCCCTTAGCGACCCGCGCACCGCCCCTTAAAGGCCCCGTCGACCTCGCGCGTCGCCCCTTAGAGGCCTCGCTGGCCCCGTCAACCCCGCGCGTGCCCGGCTTAGAGGCCCCGCTGGCCCCGTCGACCCCACCCGCGCACCGCGTAGAGGCCCCGCGGCCCCGTCGACCCTACCCTTAGTGGCCCCGTCGACCCTACCCGCCGCCCATTAACGCCCCGCACGCGACAGCCACGGCCCCGCCAGCAGCAGCAGCAGCAGCAGCAGCAGCCGCCGCAGCAGCCGCCGCAGCAGCAGCAGCAGCCGCAGCAGCAGCAGCCGCAGCAGCAGCAGCAGCAGCAGCAGCAGCAGCAGCAACCGCAGCAGCAGCAGCAGCAGCAGCAGCAGCAGCAGCAGCAGCAGCAGCAGCAGCAGCAGCAGCAGCAGCAGCAGCAGCAGCAGCAGCAGCAGCAGCAGCAGCAGCAGCAGCAGCAGCAGCAGCCGCAGCCGCAGCAGCAGCAGCCGCAGCCGCAGCAGCAGCAGCCGCAGCAACAGCAGCCGCAGCCGCAGCACCAGCAACAGCAGCCGCAGCAGCCGGAGCAGCCTCCGGCCTCTGTTACTGGCCTTCGGGCCCTTGGTCTCCCCTCCTCTCCTCCTGTGTTCGGTCCTACGTTTCCTCCTCCGGACTCAGCTCCGGCTGTGTTCCCTCGTTCTCAGTCTCCTCCGTCTCCCTCTCCTCTCGCCAACGCTTGGACCTCTCGTCCTCCTCGTGCTCGTCCCTCGTCACCTGTCACTAACCTCCGTACCGTGTTGTCTCGTCCTAGTCCTCCTCGTCCTCCTCCGTCTGTTCTTCCTCGTCCTCCTGAGTCGTCCCTCACTGCCTCCCTGTCCACTCCGGTCACTGACTACTACCGCACGTACCGCCCCACTCTCTCTCGTGTTCTCGCCTCTCTTGTTACAGACCCTCGTGCCTCTCCTTCCTCCGTCGCGGTCCTCACTGCCGCTGTCACTGACTTTACTGCTACGCGTCGCCTTGACTACGCCACTCGTGTTGTGGCCGCTCCTCCTGTCCGTCCTCTGTCCGCCGGGGGTGAGTCTGCCCTTGGCTGTGACGTCCTAGAGGACAGACAGTTTGAGCTAGAGTTCCTGGCAGCTGCTTCGCCTCATCTCTGCGCCATGCTCCTCGCTTCTGAGGGAGACCCTGACGCTCCTGACATACCGACTCCTCGCACTTACACTGAGGCAGTGTCAGGGCCTTGGGCCTCTCAGTGGAGAGCTGCCATGGACGCAGAGATGGCCTCCTACAGGTCCACAGGCACTTACGTTGACGAGGTTCCCCCCCCAGGGGCGAACATAGTTGACGGCATGTGGATCTTCGATGTGAAGCGGCCGCCGGGATCTCCCCCAGTCTTCAAGGCATGCTACGTGGCTAGAGGGTTCAGTCAGCGCGAGGGGGTTGACTTCTTTCGGACCTTCGCGCCCACCTCGAAGATGACCACTCTTCGGGTGTTACTTCACGTAGCGGCGCAGAGGGACTACGAGCTACACTCCCTCGACTTCTCCACTGCCTTCCTGCAGGGCAGCCTACACGAGGAGATCTGGCTGCGTCGTCCTCCGGGCTTCACTGGCACCTTCCCGCCTAAGACGCAGTGGAGCCTCAGACGACCGGTCTACGGTCTCCGCCAGGCACCCCGTGAGTGGCACGACACTCTCCGCTCTACTCTGTCCGACCTCGGGTTTGAGCCGTCTTCCGCCGACCCGTCGCTGTTTGTTCGTCGTGGGCGCACACCTTTCTTCGTTCTGGTCTACGTTGACGACTTGGTTTTTGCCACAGCCAACACAGTTGCACTGGCGGAGGTGAAGTCCGAACTGCAGAAGAGACACACCTGCACTGACCTTGGGGAACTGCGCCGCTACCTTGGCCTGCAGATCACCAGGGACAGAGCAGCTCGCACCATCACTCTGACCCAGTCACACATGGTGCAGCAGGTCCTTCAGCGGTTCGGGCTTCAGCACTCTTCTCCTACACCCACCCCTCTTGCTGTAGACCACAGACTCACTGGGCCTTTTCCTGACGAGTCGTTCGAGCCCAGTGGTCCCTGTGCAGAGTTGGTGGGCTGCCTCATGTACCTGATGACGTGCACTCGCCCGGACCTCGCCTTCCCTCTTAGCATCCTTTCTCGCTTTGTTGCGACTGGGAGACACCGTCCTGTTTACTGGACGATGGCTAAGAGGATGGCGAAGTACTTCGCCACGACATCAGATACGGGGCTTGTACTTGGAGGGACTCAGCCAGTTGTACTCACCGGCCACTGCGACTCCTCGTACGCTGACAACGTTGAGACTCAGAGGTCTACGCAGGGTTACTGTTTCAGCCTGGGCTCTGGAGCTGTTTCGTGGAGGTCTACTCGGTCCTCCTCTGTTGCGACTTCTACCGCAGAGGCCGAGATCTACGCTGGAGCCCTTGCTGCACAGGAGCTATGCTGGTTGACCTTCTTGCTCACTGACCTTGGTGAGCGGCCGAGCTCTGCACCGACCTTGTTTGCTGACAACAAGGTGATGATTCTCCTGTGTCGTGAGCCTCGACTAGAGAGCAGAGTGAAGCACATCGACGTCAGGTACTTCCTCCTTCGAGAGTTAAAGAGACGCGGACAGGCACGTCTGGACTTCGTGGCCTCCGAGGCCAACACTGCAGACATCTTCACCAAGGCTCTTCAGCCTTGTGGCCACCGCCGGTTTTGTCTGCAATTAGGCCTTGTTGAGTCAAGGTCTAGTAGACTGCAGTAGTGAGTTCTTGCCTCTTGTTTGTTTGTACCATATATATTAGCTTGTACACTCTTGAACTGGCCTTGTGGCCCCTTGTTTGTGCTCAGTCTGTGTGATGACGTTGTGATCCACCCTGAGCTTTGTTTTCTCTCTTGCTTGTGACTGGTCTTGTGACCTTAGGTTGCGTTTTGTTGCTTGGCATTCCCCACTTAGGCTATGGGGGTGTGTCAAATGTTATAGCCTCTAGTGGGTTATGCTATATGGGGTACAAACAGTTAGGGTTAGGTATTTGTACCCCAACCCAATCAATCCAACTCATTCCGCTGTTTTCAGTTCGTGAGAGTTTCGTATTCCCTTGTACTCTTATTTATATGCTTGTATTTGGATGCTTTTATCATCTCAACATATTACATTTACTCTGTTTGAGATCAAGGGCCCACCCCTACCAATCTAGCTGCATGCGAACCTTCCCGAGGTGATCCTAGGGTCGATCAATCTCTGATCGTAACATGGTATGAGAGCGACTCAGGAATCTTCCGCACTGCTACCTCCAAAACCTTCGGCGAGCGAAAGGTGGCGTCCGGCACACGATCGCGTGTAAGGATGGCCGGAGGATCTGGTGGTCAGACGAATCTGACCGCTGAAGCGCAGTCCAACCCGGCTGCGACAAACGAGGAAGCGACGACAATTGGAACCGCCGTCCTCGCACAACTGCTTCAGCGACTCACCAGCTTGGAGCAAGGGCTCCGAACATTGCGGAATGGCGACGCGGG